TGGCAATATGTCAGTGCCGAAGACTGACTGTCCAACACTTAACATACTCCAATGATTTATGATCCTAATAAATTACTTGATTGGTTACAGGATTTCAGTATGAGCTGAACGGGTAGAAGTTGGAATTCATGGGCTGGCCACTGGATTGGGTCCCAGTGGCTTAATGATCAACGAGCTCGCTAGCCTTGTAACCAGAAGTTCCTGGGTTCGAAACCAGTTGGGGTGGGTGGGTACTGGCGAAGAGTCTCAAACTAGGCTGACGAAACAGCTGTCCAGCAATCCCAGACAGGTTTCCCAATGATTCTCTAACCGATGTCAGCTCATGATGAAATCCTCTAACCAATCATACAAAAATCCCTACAAACCAACACTTGAATTACTTGATTGTTAGGTGAACATCATGAATTTAACCAGCCACCTTTGTGATCACACTTTGTATGCACCAAATGACGATTTATTTGTGAAGCAAACGGCTTACTAATAAACTGTATGATACTTAATATCACGTCAGGTAATATATATATATATACTCTAACCTCTTCTACAATTGAACACTAACACTGATGAAGGCTACAATATTGAACAACATTGAACACACATTGATTTCCCCTTCTAAACTTGAAATATAAGCTACCACCGAAAATCTTAGGATACCTTTGATTGAAAACATTGAACTAAATGAGATTGTAACATAAGAATGAAAACATAATGTTTCTTAATAAAATCGCGCATACATATGAAGTCTTACAATTTATAAAAACGCATGTACATACATACACGCGCGCAAACACGTCTGCAAAATGATAAAAATGAATAACACTGACAGTGAATTTACGAAAAATATTTGATCTATACAGTAAACTTTCTCGAATAAATACATGACAAAATGCACTTGACGGACAAAATCAATTATTGATTTTATTAAAGACCATGGTTTCACTTAGGTGATGTAATGCATAACAATACTAGTGTACAGAAAAATACAAATGAATAATGGCATTAACCAATAAACATTGAGATAATACCACCTAGCTGGCAATGAATCGTACTTTTAATGCTCCATATTCAAAACAATCATAGAGTTGTGTTACCAGAAAGATTATTACTTATAAATTGTTGGTATTAGGTGGTTGGAGGCAATCAACCGGCAGGGAACGTTGGACCTAGGTTTCGTCCTAGTTGACACTCACCAGTCAGCAAGGCCTACTTGCAACCTCGAAGGAACTCATGTCCCTTGTTAAATTCGTACCCGTGTCACCCAGTGCCGCCTGCAGTCGGAGAAGTTATCACTGAGCGATTCAGATTCGCAATTGACTTCCTGTAGGATTGACTGTGTTGGATATTTTTGATTGGACACTAGTCAGGAAGTCATGGTAACCAGTAGTTGACATAATGGTGATTGTAAAAATCAGATCTGATTAGCTTCAAATCTGTCCTTCTTTTTCTCAATGCGTTTCTGTATTAGCAGCCAAAGGGACCACAGTAGTGAACAAGTCTAATCTAAGCCCTTTATCAAAATGCTTTACATTCAAGTATCTGAAATAGTGCAACGATTTTGTGCGAGCTAGTGATACTAATCTGACTGCGCAAACCTTAGTAAGTGGAATGAAGTTCGAACCCGTAACTCAGAGATTGGAAGTCGAGCGCGTAGACCACTGACCCGCAGTTTCACAATCAAGTGGTGGAGTATCTCTAACTTTACGTTATGGCTCTGCTATTGCTCCAAAGAATGAAGGTAGGGTTCACAGTCTTTTTTTCCTTCACGTTCCCCAATGGAACATAGAGCCTCAAGCTAGTGGCTTGAAGTTTCTGTAGCAGTGTTTATTTTACAGGATGGGGTTGATAGCCTCATGCCCAACCATTCCTCTTTACCAGCATTATTTCTGGCTTAGCGAGGTAAAGGAGTGCATCCGGTGGCCGGGGATCGAACCCCGGATCATGTGCATAGTCGGTGAGCGTCCTAACCACTATGCCACCGACAAACATAATTCACACAGTGATACACCCATTGACTGGGTACTGGTACATGACAACCAAACACACCCATCCTTGCGCAACCACTCGAGAGCCCTCTCCCTCGAAGGACCAATTGTATAAAAGAGGAGGCGGTCTCCACGCACGGACCGGGCTGCCACATGGTCACCATTCACAGGCGCTATCCCGCTACCGCACCGCGCAGGTACTTTTGCCTGCTGGGTTTCTCCCCTGGGCCGGTGCGCCCCTCCTTAGTCGACCTGGACAACCCGTCCACCGACAGGTCATCCATAACGGCACCGTGCTTAGCGTGGACGCCCGATCAACATGAGCACCCATATGCCAGAACTCCTAGTCCCGCGAAATTCCGCACCCTCGCCACCAAATAGTTAGATTACAGGCGTACGCCACCGCGCCCGATTTTTCATCAGTAAAATGGCATTTTTCTTAGCTAAACTGCAGCTACTTTCAACGGAGTAGCAAAACAAATACCACTAAATAGTTAAATAGATAAACGTGTGTACCAGATCACTGAACTTATATTTTACAAAAAAAAAAAGAATGTAATAGTAATTTGATTGGACACTAATAACTAGTGTCACGTTTCTAGTCCTTCCTTTGATGTCGACTGAATTCTATCAGTCAGGTTTTGCAATGTGGCCACCATTCTAGGTAGCTCGCCATCACGGTGCACATTGATTTGTCGATATTAGATAGTTGGAGGCGTGGGTTCGAATCTCAGAAGGGACATAAGTTCCTTCAATGTTGCAGATACGCATTGCTGACTGGTGAGTGCCAACTAGCATGAAACCTAGGTCCAAGGCTTCCTGTGGCCGATTGCCTCCAACTAGCTAATGTCATCAAATAGAATGTAACAGTCATTATTGTTTGTCTAGCCAAATAGGAAAAGGCTTAGTTGTTACACTTTACAGTAGCACTGTTGATTGCCTCCCCTTATTCTCAGATAGTAAGTAGTATTGTGAGAAATGCATACATAGAACATCCTGATAAGAACAAATCGATACTGGACATTACCTTTTTTGACAGAGTAACGATGTACGACAATGAAAAATTATGTCAGTTGTCAAATTTCGATATTTTAAAAAAACTATGCTTAAACTGTTGAAATACACAATTTGTAATTCTGTAAATTTATTCTTTTAAAAGTATATCAAAAATATCTCGGATAAGATTACTTTAATTATTTTACTTTGCTAGATTCCCGTATTTTTCACACCTAAACGTGTTCAATATTTAGAAAACGGTAATGTTCCGATTGCACTGACGACCAACTCACCGCTACCCCTTCGGGTTCCACTCGAGTGATGACTTGTCTAATGATGTCACTTGATGTTTTTCTCAGCGTATGGCCAATCCATCTCCATTTCTTCCTGCCTATTCGTTTCGCAATCGGTTCCTGGTTGGTTCGCTCATTGACAGAGATCCCTGTTGCTGATCCTTTCTGGCCAGCCATCTGATCTTGAGTATTGAGCGAAGGCAGGTGTTGATGAAGGTCTGTAGTTTGTTTGAGAAGCTCTTTATGACACGCCAAGTCTCTGATTCATATGGTAGCACTGACTTCACATTGGAGTTGAAAATCCAGACCTTACTTTTTTATGCTTGGTGTGCTGTTGATCTCCACACAGACTTGAGAGAAATGAAAGCTTGTCTTGCTTTCCCGATTCCTGTCTTGATATCCTCGTCTGTTCCGTCCGCCTGTAACTAAAACGATGCTTCCCAGGTAGCTGGTAAAGGAGGTTGTTTCTTTCAGGCTCGTCTCATTTATGCTGATTATACGGAGTAAAAATACTTATCGTAAACATATGTTTGGTGAGTGAGTGAGTGAGTGAATCAGAATCTAGTTGCTCTCTGTATGTGAGGACTGATGATGATGATGATAATGCTCAGCTATACAGGTTGACGTATGTGGAGATGGATTCAAACCAAAAACCTTGAGGTTTTCAGACTAGTGTTTAGGCCAATTATCCCATAAAACTGTGACACGGCTTACAACCCTCTGTAAACGACCTGGTATGATCGATGATGAATGGACTTCTGTCCTCCTGTCGAAATACTCTCATAAAGTCACACACATTCATAGCTTCTGTCAGGTAAGTTCGATTCACTGCTGTTACGCGGTAGGGTGTTTATCACAAAATTGAAAGGGTGAATATGTGAGCGTCTGGCGCTTACAACCGAATTGATGGATATCTGCGTCTACCTAAGGGAGCTGGCAAACCCCGATTCTAAACTTACAGTGTACATCGGCTCCAGAATTCGAACGAATCAAAAGTCATATGGACCTGTTTTTTAGTCACCGGTAACCATGACAACGCAGTTCCTGATGATGTCACTCCACTGTCCCATAAGAAAATCACCTGCTTCGGCCTGGGCGTCCAGCTAGTATGTATTTTAGTCCTTTCATAAACTATGGTACCTTATGCAGAGCATCTCTTGGCGCCCATAATCTACCGCGTTTGTGTTTTAATAAAAAATAATAATACGATAGTTATGGTTCATAATAGATCGCAGTGGTACAAACGAATAATATGCCTTTTCCCCATTCTAATTGTAATACTGCAACTCTTATTTTATGTAAACACTTTCCATAAATGCTAATTATATTACTTGCACTTCTATAACCCCTTAATACCACTGAACTTATTCTCCTATGAGATGCAGTATGATCATATATGTATAAACAACATGCTTTAAACTGATGTCATTGGAGCTTTAACCAGACAAGATGCTTTGAAATCTCACTCTTTTAGCTTTATTGTAGAAAGTGTAGAGGTTAGGGAGTAGCATGACATACGCCTGCAGCATAAATATCGTCATCCATACGTAGTTCAAAGTTTCATTATGACCTAAGTTTGCTTCTCCGTATTTTTTAAAAATCTGTCACACATTTACTACAGTGGGTTTACATTATGAAATACAGACACTTTAAGGTCAGAATTTTAACCGAACAAAGTGAAAATAGATGACAGTGGTTCGCCTAACAGGAAGAAAAATAACCAACTTACAATATTCTCCACCTTCTCTTCTTCAATCTCTTCAGAATACCATCTTAGCTGATCAGTTTTCTGAGTCATAGATTGACAATTTTTTGTCCCAGTATTCACGGTGGAATTCGTACCACTTGTTGGTATCCAAACAACTCCGTCTGCAACCATTTTCGCTACAACTAAATCATGTGTTTCGATTGGATCTTCTTGAGCATAGGATGCAACTGTATCAGGATTTATTTTATTTATCTGACCATATGAGTCTTGTGAGTTAACAGATTGTGATGGTGATGATGATGCAGCGAGCTTTTTAACTGTAACCTTTACACGATTTGTATTACATGGTCTTGAGTTATTGATTGAACTAACTGATGGAGATAATTGATGAGTAGGCGTGGGTGTATTAGACTCAGTTGCTTTTAATTGAAATTTTTGACTTTTTGTCATATCTGAGGGTGACTGTAGTAAATTTGGAACAAAATACTGACTTCTTCCTGAAGATGCTCTTGTTGTTCCCAATTCGGTAGTTGGTGAACACAAATTACTATTTGTTACACTAAAACTATGAGGAATAACAACTGTTGGCTGAGGTGGAAAATGATGCTGAGGTGATATCACAGGGGAATTAGTATTGTCTTTGAACTTCAAACTGTTCAAAGTTGTCGGTCGACTACCTGGTTTAACAGCAGGTCGAATCAGCTAAGAAGAAAAAGCGAAAAAGATAGGTCATAGATAAAATCATGACTATGCAATAATATGACAAATTTTCAAGTATTGGTTTTGTAGGGATTTTGTTCGATTTCATGGAGGATTTCATCATGAGCTGACATCAGTTAGAGAACCAGTGGAAAACCTGTGAGTACTGGACAGCTGTTTCGTCCTAGTTTGTGACTCTTCACCAGTACGCACTAATGTCAGCTCATGATGAAGTCCTCCATGCAATATAAAAAGTGGCAAGGAGTTAGGGATATAAATTACATAAAAAACAAATGTTCATGTGAAATAATAACCTGAATAGTTAGCGACAATAGCAGATGCAACATTCAGCCTAAGAAAGTTATACAACCTCTAAAAAACAACCACTGCAGTTATTTACAATGGACAGGAATCCTTCCATGCAAACTTTGGAAAAACGAATTACACCGACACTCCCACTTAAAATTCTTTCTAGGCGATCGAGTAATACCATACGCCCCCATACCTTAATAAATACAAAAAAACTGTGACATAAGCAATCCAGTAAGCTTATCTTCATTTTTTCATTCCTGTGCGTTCTAGATGGAGCACAGGGTTTTAAGCTCTAAACTTTGAAGTTTCAGTAGAGACTGTATTGGTTTTATGAGATGAAGGCTAGGTGGTCTCACGCTTAACCTTACCCGTTTTCAGGAGTTACTACCGGCCAGGTGAGATTTAGCAATTTGTCGGCCGGGAATCTAATCGTGACTGACGAGCATTTTACACCTGAACAACTAACGCACAACAGAGTAATGCAACACAACTATTATCATTTGTTTGTCAGCGCTTCATCAACTCTTCTACTTGTTTCACAGTAATGATATACCTGTAGCGTCTATAATCGACTAAAAACTCTGTCATCCTGATGAAAAATGCCTAAAAACAGAATCGTTCCAAAGAAATTACCGAACAAGAACACTTAACCCCTTCCAGGTACTTTTTTCTCTACAAATGTAGTATAAGGATACGCTAATTCTAGCGTATGGGAGTAACTGAACACAGTAATCACATTGTCATACAGGACAATATACTGCTTAAGCTTACAAATAAGGGGTTTTGCTATAGGTTATCTAACTTTGGTCTAGAAATGGAACGAATGACAATAATTGACTGCTTGATACTTTTGTATTACACTAAATGTAAATCTTTATCATTATTGATGAACAACCTGAAGTTATGCAAATAGTTTTATACGGAAAGATTTTTCTCCTTCTTAACTCCGAAAATTCAAAATAGCGAAATAAAATTCAGTGTAATTTATTGTAGGATATATTAAAATACTCCACTCACATGTTATTTATTATGAAACCTTAGTTAAATAAATCTCTTACCTGAGGTATGCGAGAGACTTTCGCTGGAGAACTGGGTGAAGAATTGTTGCCTGTAATCTGAGATGAATGATTGTCAGAATTTTCTGTTCTTTTTGATATCAAATTGATTTGTGGCAAATGATCCACAGGTTCATCATCTAAACTGTCTACTTCAATATCAGAAGTCTACACAAAAGATGATAAAAGATTATTTGTTAGGAAAACGAAGTGATGACACATTAGAAGAAAGCATTTTCTTCAAAAAGAAGGCAAAGAAGAAAGTAAATTCACAATACAAATCAATAATCATGCGTAAATTTTCACAGCAAACGGTGGATCATACACTATTAGGTGAGTGCTGCGTAACTACTATAGCTTGACGCAAGCTAGAAACCTAAGTCTCTTAACTGCTGCAGATATCTAATAAAGATGCAAACAGTGGGCTCAATACTTCTTATTGATTATGGCAAACATTCCTCAAGAATAATCTTCAAAAATCCATAAATCTAGGTAGTTACGCTCTCAATCATCAGCCGCCTTATAGTCAGATATCTTTCAGTCGTACAGTCACAGATTCAAGGTTCTTCAAAGATACTTCCAAAATTTGGGAAGGATTCAAACCGTTATCACTTTATATCTAACAAGTATACACGTGGGATAAGTATAACAGTTTAAGCTGTTTGTACATATTCTAGTTAAAATTGACAATGATGGAGTATATACTCATAAACTAAAGTTTTCGGGTAGGCACAGTATTTATGAGTCAGTAAAATAAGATCTGAATGTCATAAAAACTGTAAATATCTGCATAAATTTTCTCTTGCATGCAAATGACATTTCATCACTACTCCGAAGTTACGAGTCAGAAAAATATGTACAACTGACACTCTGAAAGATGCAATGAGGAAAAAGATGATTCATTAGAACGGACACCCAGAGGAGTTTGTGAAAGTTTCTACGATAAGAGTAGATAGAGAGAAAAGCCCGTGAACTGCTGTTCAAAAAGAGACGCAGCTAATGAATTACTGACATCGAAATTCAGAAAATAATAACTACAACATTCTTTTCCGTAACCCTACATTTCGCACTCATTACCTTTTGTATAATTCCAATACAAGTGAAGGAAAAGCTGTCCTCTTTACAGTATTTGTCGATTTAACTGCCCTTGTGGAGACAACTGCATAGAAAGAACAACTCGGCAAAACCACTTGCCTCTTCCAACGTAATTAGGAAAATTAATCGTAAGGGGTCTATCAGGAGTCCCATAATGACATACCTGATAGACACGCAGCACTTCAACCCTCCCCCGCCGATTGCTAGTCATAACTGAGTTAGTTGTCATGATAACTGTAAAACGTAACTTTCGTGTTCGGAAAACAAAAAGCTGTCTACTCAATCTTGCTCCCAAGGCTTTCATTCGTGAACTAGAATAGTTTTCTTTCCCAGTGACGCCCTATAACCGAAAATATTTTCTATATTTACATCTCTATTGTTAACTTTATGATTATTAGCATAATGAACTGTAATTGCTTATATTACTCTTAGCTTTGCAACTTATCAAACAATCTTATATCGCCACTTAATTCATATGAGAAAAAAGTTGTTCTCCCTCCTTACCCTTACAAGCATATACATTATGCATATAAGTTTTGCGATTGACTACCTAGACCACATAAACATTTGCATGAATTTACCTGTGTTATTTTATGATCCCTTGGATTACTACTCAAAACGTCTTTTACCAATAATTTTATGATGCATTTGTACAACTTGATGAGAAATCACCAAAAATATGTATTTTCTTAAGTACTACTCTGTAATTATCAGAACGGGAATATCTAAACTATATTTCTTGTGCATAAAAACTAAGATAGCAGATGAGTGGTGCTTCTCTCTGCTAGCCACTTTTTTTCAGTTACCTACTTGGTATCATTTATTATATGCTAACATGAACTCAATAGAGATTTGTAGCTTTGATTTGATAGAGAACACTATCAAACCAAAATAACATAAAGGTGCCAATTGTCAACTCTCCTTTTCACTTCAAATTCATAATAATATAAAACGTGATGTCTCCTCAATGAAGCAAAAGAGAAATGCAACCAACAGTGACATTTCTAGAAAATACTATCACTTGAAGCAATCTAGTTACGCATTCATTCTAAACACCATTTTATTCGCATAAGTTAGCACTAAAAACCATAATTTCTCAACTTTTATGCTCTATACATTGATAAGAATGCACTGTCTATATAACATTCCTCTTATGCAACTGAACTTACTTCATTGAAATCAGACCTTCCTTTTGATTTCTGATTCGCATAACTTTTTTCTTGAAATGAATGTGTTCTTGTAGAGATATTAGTCGTTTGATTTGCTTGAGAACTCTTGATTTCTGCTGATGGAGTACTTGTCCTGCATTTTCGATCGAATAGTGAACCAGAATACACCTGTGCTTCAAACTCTTGAAATTCCTGAATCAGACTGTCTGTAGTTGATATTTCGCTCGCTGATGGATCAGCACCACACTGGTTAGAAAAGACGTGGGTGCTCATCCCACTGTCGTTTTCTATGTTTACTAAATATGCTAGAAATTGAGAACAGGAAAGGATGCTTTATGATATGCTACAAAAGATAACTACTAAAAAGAAATCAATTGTCTCAGCTAACACAAAATTGAATAGCACAAGAGTATTTCCCTACTAAAACCTATCCTACAAACTTATAATATGGGGAAATTCAGAGTACACATTTCTTTATTTTTTTTTTATTATAGCTTGATTCCACGTCGTATTTTTGATACAGGTATGAAATTTTCAGCATGTGATATCGGTAGCCTAAATTTTGCAGGCCGACCATAGGTATCATGTTTGCGTCGGCAGGGGAGAGAACCCCGGACCATGTGCATGGTCGGCGAGAGTCATAACCGCTGTGCCACTGACGCCCATACATACACTCAGGTGATACTTGACGAGTGAACTACACCTCGTGCCTGACCAAAGTGAGATAATCATGACTAAGGTTTAACAGAAATATTGCCCAACAAGCACATTAATGCACTCAATAACGAGCTACCCCTGGTGTGCGAAGTCTGATACTATCCAGTGACTGAAAAAAGAGTCCGTAAATTCTAAATTATGCAGTAAGAAACTGTAACCAAAGAGGTTCACCACACCAAACAAAAGAACAGTTGCTGACCTATGACTTTGGCTGGCGGTTGCGCTACTTATATAGAGAATTGCCAGAAGGTGAGAATTATGGACGACTGGATTACATCCCAGTGCCTGAATGGTCACCTCGATCTATATTGAAGTTAAGTATGTACTGATGAAGAGTCCAAGACCAGGGCGAGACAACTGTCCAGTACACCCTAGTTCTCAATGATCATCAATGATCATGTTAACCTGACCACCCTGAGGCATTCGTGAAACACTACAAACTATAAGGAGCTACGAAAAATTGTAAATGAATAGTGTTTACAAATTACTTCAATTGATTCAACATGAAGACCTGTGTAGTTTACTTAGTACATGCATCACTCATGATTTAAAGAAAGACTAGCAAGCATTCCACTAAAGTGAGACATCACAAACATTGACAAAGGCAGTTTTCTTCAGTTATTCAGGGACTTTTAAAGGGCCAGATGAATACAGAATGTCTTCCAAAAAACAATGATTTAAAACAGCCACCACAGTAGAAATTAGCCTGATACAAGCACACACTGTAGACGGAAGACAAGTTCTTGTGATTTATATCCCGTTAGTGTGGGCACACAAGCTTGCATATCAGCTGCTAACAAGATTATGACATTAAATGAATGCGCGAATTGAAAATTTATGTCCGGCTTGAAACACTACGTGGAAGCCGGCTGACTAAAGAAACAAACCATGGCCACAAGCTATTTTTTAACGGTGCAGAGCGCGAGGAACCAAGATACCAAAACTGAGCTAGTGCAAAGTGAGTACCAAAAATATTAGAGAGCCAGTTTTAACGTAATTAATTTTAATGTTTTTAAGATTGCCAACATTCAATATGACTATATTTGGAAGTATCCAGTCTGTGAATGTCTGCACACATTCACTTACCGAAAAGTCAACGAACGACTTACTCAGTTAAAAAGTTAAACCAACTATTAGGACAAATAAAACTCAACATTGCACGAAGGATCACTCACTTATCCTAGTTCATTCCAGCTAATACATTTGTGGGTACATACAAATGTAAACGAATATTCTTTTACCCAAGCTTACCACAATTCTAAACTTATTCTGGCCTGTTCTTCGATAATACTTTTTTATGGTAAATGATTTTATTTACCCACCATGTTCTGAAATAACACCGGTTGTGCTTAAAACGAGAGCTGGGTGCTGAATTAAGTCTTTCCGTTCTGAAGTTACGCTAATCCTGAGAGGGTTGAAAAGACGTTGACAAGCAAACCCAGTGGGATCTTATCTACACCTGAAAATGTCCAGAATACGAACACGGTGCTGAATTAGTACCAGTCATGCTGTAAACCCGCACTGAGTTCTAGTCTGTGTCATTAAAGAATCCATAACAGAACAGATTCACAATTTCATCACTATAGAATGTTAGAATTACTTCAGAATTAGTGGGCTTTAATTAAACATTATAGTAAGCTTGGGAAATATTTTACGACACATGTTTATCATGTATTTTACAGGCGACAAAACTTACAATCATACTCAGCTCTACGAAGACTACTAACAATGCCCTACATAGTGGCTCCATCGAATTAATTCGCACAAATCAGTATGGACAAACGCACACCTAAAAACTCATATTACTCAATCACTCCCACATAACAGCCCAAAAACACGCGAAAAATTTAAAAATACACCTAGTTAATTCTCTATTCATACTATTCAATCTCCAAATCTCACTCCTATCCTTCCATGTATAAATAATGACTGACTTGCAGGGACCGCCGACCTTGACAAAATTTAACTGTGCGCTACAATCATGATTTAAGTACTCCTAAATTCAGACACTAAAACAATACTTTGAATAAGAGATGATTTGATCGCCAATAAACATGTGAATATTTTAAACACTTTCATATCTCTTTTACAATTGAATGTGAAATATAGCATCTTTGATAAGTAATCTTTATTTTATTTATTGCTTCTATCGCCAATAGGTCTACATGGTTTTATTCAGCGGTATTGCTTATGAGCTAATGCAGTGAATGACATGCAGCCTCTGTCAGTAGTTTTTCATGCCTCAGTTATGTGAAATGGGATGACAAGAAATAGGATTTTAGATGAATATATATGTCACCTGTGACTTTATGAATTATACTAATTTTTCATGTCCGAGTGTCGTCAGATTAAGTTTTTAGACGTTTCATGGAATTCTCTTACACAGCCTCTAAATTATTCTCGCGTACCAACAACAAAGTAAAAGATAATATTTGATCGTTCAAACTAAGTGATATATTTCGGGACCAAAACAAGCCGTCAGACGAACGCTTAGCTAGCTAGTGATCGTGCACGTGACACGACGGGGTACCAAATGGCGGGGATGCTTGACCGGAAGCCTTCAGCTAAACAAGTCGACTTAATCAGTGGTGGTCAGCATCCAATGAGTGATTGCTGTGGTCAATAATTTTGGGAAATTATTTACCGCTACAGCTCACTCCCCCCTAGTGGGGTGGTGAGGACCCTAAGACAGAACCAGCCGGAAGTAAAAAACTCGATGGTTCCCTTCCAGGTGAAAAAAATCTTCCGAGAGGCTTGGTGGTATGCCTACTGGTTTGTCTGCCTATGCTAATAGGGTGTTTGTACATAGCTTCCTTGTTGTTGTTCGTTGGATTTCGTGCTTCGTTTGTTTCCTGTCCAGTGCCCGTCACACCTGGAAAAAAAACAAGAACGCTAAGAACCATGTCGAGGAAACTGTACCAAATCAGCTTTTTTGTTTAAAAAAAATGATGTGCATTTACTATACAGTTAAATAATACTAAGTTCCGAACATCGAAAAAAATACATCTAATTAATTTTTTTGTGCATGTTACATGAACCGTTGAAAAAAAAATTTTGTCTTCAGTGGAACTGTATATAAAAAAATTGCTACGTCAAAAGAAATAGTTAGTACCACAAACATATGAGTTGCGTGAATAACACGACTTCGTTATGTTAAATAATAATAATTTTTATGATAATAATAATTTTATTTTCATGTAAACATAAATTTACATGAAAATGCATACCATTTTTACAGGCACGATCAAGTATGTTATAATGTCAAATCTTAAATTGTCTACAAGTTAATAATGTTTCAACAGTTAAATATTTGATACATATATATAATTACACTCATTGTCTGAACCAGGCCGTATAGTTATTGAATTGTACAGTTGTCCTCCAGGTTGAGCGGCAAAATCGACTTCGTTTCGTTTTCATCCCGTGGTTGTAGGCATACGATAACCAACCAATATTGAGGTAAGTACAACGTTTACAAGGGATTGGAAGCTGTTTTAGAAAAGTTAAAGTGCTAAGGTGAATCGTTAAAGTGTAATAAATTAAGCAAGTGCAATATATCATTAATAAATACATTTATATAGAAAACAGAATGGGGAAGTAATTAATCCTTAGGCCGATAACGTTCATTTGCAATGTATAATAATACCAATATATTTTGTACTATCATGATGTCCACTTTTGGCTTTAATACATTTATCCTCAAGCCAGTTGTTTTTATTTCATGCCTTTTTTTCTATTTGGTGCACAACCGTACCCTCCAGAGAACAGGAATAGAAAGCTAAAAATGTTAGGTTTAATGGAATATAATGGGGATCAAGTAAAGACGTTATTAGAAAATAAGTGAGACAAGATATTGTGAAGTGGTATTTAAAGATCTGACAATGGATAGCAAGTTAATTTATATATATATATATATATTTTCTTCCTGTTTATGCAGGAACATACCAATTGTACATGCACGGATAAGTTATTATATAAATTACACATAATTTGATGTATAATGGATTTATAGTTTGGTTGTTCTTTCTGACATCAAAGTCAGTCGGAACAGTCTGCTATAAAGTTTGTTTGTGTAGCACATAAAGAGATATAGAAATGTTGTCTTCGCATTAACAAAAAACCCAGACATCACATGAATGTAATACAAATATCTGGGAAAAATAAAGCTTGAAGTCAATTCTCCTATATAACTTAGTTGTGAACAGCACCCTTGGCTTAAAGATTATTGATGTATTATGTTGAGATCAGTGATATATTTATTCCATTTTTTCAGTAGTCTTATCGTAGTTTTATAACAGGAAAGAAATTTGATCGTGGATACGAAAACTAGATAAGGTCATGTTGGGTTGTTTTACTTTATAAGATGCCCCATAAATTTGTGCAGATCCCGCCTGGTCACATCTCAACAATAAGCTGAGCGAATGGTATATATTTAAAGGTAGAAGCATGATCTGTCAAGGCGTTCATTATTATCTTTTTCAAGATAAAGATCTAAGCCCTCATAAAAATCAGAAATATCTCGAGCCTTCAAATTGCATATTGCTGTTCCTGCAGAATGGGGTGATTCACCTTAGTGACCACCACCATATCTACTGATCAGCTAGCACCACCCTCCCTCCTTAAATAAGTATGAAGATATTCTGGGAACCTTACGGTGCGTCCAGAACGGGTTTTCTTGGGAGGCCCGATAGAAGGTTCGGTAGCTGTCGCTCTGCTAGTGACTTCATCGATGTCTAAACGATCTTCTGTTACTTGTGGATTATGGGGTACGTTGATCTCTATGCTAATAGGATTACCCTCCAAGTAAGCCGGTTTCAGTATAGCCTCGACCTTAGTAGCCAGTGGGCGAATGCCCTTGCAGTCAATAGTGTGACCCAGGAAGTCGCGTGAGTCAACACCGATTTGACACTTTTGAATATTGATGGTAACACCATGTTGGCGTAACCTTTCAAATGCCAAGTCCAAGTGCCTAAGGTGAGTTTCCTTGTCTGGACTGGCAATGAGGCAGTCGTCTAAGTATGCGTATACAAAGTCGAGACCGCGAAATACTTCGTCAATGAAGCGTTGGAATGTTTGGGCTGCATTCCGGAGACCGAATGGCATACGTAGAAATTCAAAAAGTCCGAAAGGCGTAATGATAGCCGTTTTCGGGATATCTTCTGTTGCCATCGGGATTTGGTTATACGCTTTAACCAAGTCGATTTTGGAGAATATAGTCGCGCCGATAAGGTTGCCGTCAAGTCGTGTATATGAGGCAACGGGTAGCAATCAGGGGTTGTTTTGGCATTCACTCGCCGGTAATCACCGGTGGGTCGCCAATCATTGCTATCCTTTTTCGGAACCATATGAAGTGGGGATGCCCATGGGCTATTCGAAGGTCGAATGATGCCAAGGGTAAGCATATGGTCAAATTCATTCCTGGCGATTCTCAGTTTGTCAGGAGCTAATCGTCGTGCTTTAGATGTCACAGGTTGTCCTGTGGTAATGATGTGGTGCATAACATTGCTGGTTATGCACGGTAGGTCGTTCGACGGGCAATTAAGTTCCGGATACTTGTCAACAATAGGTTGAAAAGTTGGATCAAGAATTGCCTTTATCTTAACGGGTGACAAACTAGGGCCTATGTAGGTGATGCCTTTGATAGACAGACTAGTAGTATTGTCAATCAGTCGTTTTCGGCGGACGTCTACGAGTAAATCATGATGATTAAGTAGGTCCGTGCCAATGATGGGCATTGTAACGTCAGCGAGAAGGAAAATCCACCGAATAGGTTTGCGTAAACCTACGTTCAGATAGACGTATTTCTACCAAAGGTTGCGATTGGTTTTCCATTTGCAGCCTGTAAGTTGAAGGTAGGTTCCTTCTGTCGATCTGCTGCTGTAGCAGGAAGGACGCTGACTTCGGCGCCTGTGTCGACTAAATATCGAGTCTGGCTTATCACATCATGGATGTAAAGAAGGCGGCTAGTGCCACCGGCGACGGTTGCCGCTAACGCGTGCCGGCGGGATAGTTTCCCACAGACTTTGAGACATTTCCGAAGTTACAAGGCTTACGGCAACACTTCGCTTCTTGGCCATAGGTGTTGTGGTACCAGCACCAGTCAGGGTTTTTCAGTGAACGTGGTTTGGACTTAGATCGACCACGTGAGTTCCTGCGTTGAGGAGATTTAGGACGACGGTCGGAGGAGTTAGAAGGCATGTTTGACCTAAACATCTGCTGGATGGAGTTGCATAACTCTATCATTGCAGGATCCTTACTCGAAGTCTGCTTAGTCATCGAGCATATTTCGGGAACTGACCGTTTAGTTATTTCTAGAATCCTATCTGCAGTAATAGCTAAGTCCTCTATTACAGTACCCTGAAGTGTCACAAGTACGGTCTGTACAGACTGTGGCAGCTTGGTTAAGAAGAGTTCTCTAAATAGTCCTTCGTCGAACTGACTTTGGCCGACAATTTTTTTCATTCTTGTCAGCATGCTCACGGCTGACTGATCTCCTAACTCGATGTTACGAAATAATTCATCCAGACGTTGTCGGTCCGTGAGAACGTTTCTCCTGAGGAGGGATGCTTTGAGCAACTCGTACGAGTTACTTACCTCGGGACTCAACATCTGTGATGTTACGTACTTGCTGAATTCCCGCGGTAGGGCGTGAATAACTGCAAGTAACTGTGAACGTTGATCGGTTATCCCATGCTCACAAAAATCTGCTTCAGCTAGCAGAAACCACGTTTCAGCATTATCTGGCCAGTATGGTACGAGCTGAATGGTTTTAGGAGTTGAGCGGATACGAATGACCTTGGGACTAAGATCACTCATGACGAAAATTATGTCGAATAATATATGGTACAAGAACAAATACAAAATGGAACGAACTCACCGGGGTTATCTGCGGATTTATCGTGGATGAAGTTCGCGGTTGGGCTCACCAGTTTAGAGGTTGACGGAATTCTCTTACACAGCCTCTAAATTATTCTCGCGTACCAACAACAAAGCAAAAGATAATATTTGATCGTCCAAACTAAGTGATATATTTCGGGACCAAAACAAGCCGTCAGA